ATACAATATTTGAGTTCAAAGAAGCACAAAGAAAAGGGTAGAGCAGCCAAGACTCCTAGGGCCTCATCTGCACAGACTGCACACACTAGTAAGAGGAAGGTAGAAGAAGACGAGGAGGAACAGGCACATTCAAAAGAAACAGAGGAGGACGAGCGTTATATTGAAGAGGGAGATGACTCTGATGATGATAGTCTCGACTCTGATGCATATGATGAGGCTTGCGCTATTGATATTCCTTCTGATGATGATGATGATGATGAATGATGATGACGACTGAAGACTCTTGCCTCTTGGTGCTGAGTGTTGACTGTTGACTGCTGTGTTGAGTCATGAGTGTTGACTTTTGTTAGACTGTATATTTTCTAAATTTCTGTATATTTCTGTTGTGTTGAGTGTTGACTTTTATATCCTACACACTTGTATGGTTTTATAGTTCACTATTTTAACAATATGGATTATTAAAATTGTCTTCTCGACGTTTATCTTCTTTTCTTTTTTTTAACTTGGATTTGGAAGATTGTATATTGGTAATATGGTATAATGGTATATTTTTTCAACTGGGCAGCTACCCAGGTTCTAGGCGCCCGCCTAAGCGCTGGGCGGCCTAAACCCTCCAAGCCGCCTAGGACCCGCCTAGCACTTTTTGATATACTATCCAAGGGGTTTGGTATTTAATGAAACCCTTAAACAATTATGACATTAGGGTGCCCATGTCTCTGGGCTCCCGCCTAGAGCCTCCTAGGGAGCCTAGGCCCCTCATCGCCTAGCCGCCGCCTAGCTTGTTCTCCAACATTGCTTATGCACCTCATCATTATAATCCAAGACTTATCCTAATTATGTAGGGTCAGCTTCACGAATCATGTTCTGCCATCCGCTCTATCAAGGGTCATACCCTCAGTCAGATCATAAGTCACCATATCTCTTCTAACTACTTCCATCCATGTCCTTTTGGGCCTTCTCCGTGCCCTTTTAGAGCCTTCCACTTGAACCAAATCAACCCTCCTAATGAGTGTTGTTCTAGGTCGACGTTGCTCATGGTTGGACCACCTAGGTCTACTTTCCCTCATCTTATCGCCTGTTGGAGATACCCCTAAGTTCCCTTGAATGTATTCATTCCAAACTCCATCCTTTCTTGTCTTGTGCACTTATAACACAAAAATTGGTGAAGTAGAATTTAGATTCCAAAGGCATTAGAACGAGATTTAAAAAATGTGGAATTGTAAATTTTAACTTCTAGGAATCAAGATCTGGCGGTGATCCCCTGAGGGAAACGTGAAATCGCAATTCTAAACCAAAATCGCTACTTATAGTGGACGGTTCCGATAACTAGATGCTACAAGTGTTGCCTTTGCACCTTCGATTGCTTGTATTGCACCACTGTACAGTGCTTTTGTCCAAGGTCACCAACTTCTAGATGGAGCTTTAATTGCTCATGAATGCATCCACAATAGGTATTAGTCTGGGTCTGCTGATATCGTCCTCAAACTTAACTAGGATAAAGCTTATGACCACATGTACTGAGATATAACAGGTAAAATGATGTTCTAAATGAGCATTGATAGTATAGAAAGAAGCTAGATTAGGGGACCCACTGCCTCCCTTGGTTTTTTGTCATATTAAATGGCTCACCAAAGGGCCTCTTCCTTGCATCTATAGGACTTTGTCAAGGAGATCCATGTCCCTCATACTTTTCACCATCATGGAGGAAATGTTTAGTAAGTCCATCTCAAAGTTGTTTCCAAATAACTTACTACAAGGCTAATAATATACTGCTGGGCTTTAGATCCTCTGAAAGTGGTCCGTACATCTCCTAATTACATTATGCAAATGACATGCTAATCTTTTGCAATGCCAATCTCCAAAAGGTCGACTCCCTTCGGTTGTTCTTCAGATGCTTCAAAGTCGCATCGAGCTTCAAGATCAACATGGTAAAGATTTCTTTGTTTGGGATTTACTAGAACCTCAAAGTTGTTTCAAAGCTGGTTAAGTAATTGTAGTGTGGAACTGATTCCTTGCCAACCAAAGTACTTGGGAGTGGCATTGCTCATAGACAAGCCTCACAAAGCACAATGGTATGTGGTGGTCAAACAAATTGAGTAGCGCCTTGCTGCTTGGAAGACTAGGTAGGATTACCATCATCAAAGCACCTTATCCAATATTTATGTATTTCAGATGTCCTGGTAAAGGGATTTATAAATTTCATTTTGAAGTGGAACATGGCATTACTTCCAATAAGAACTTTCGGGCATAAAACCACAAGGAGTTTAGTTGTGGGTCCGGAGAAGACTCATGTTGAACTAACTAGTCATCCTTGATTTTATGGTGTTGAGAATCTTGAGATCCTAGTTTTAGAGCCCCTCCAAAACCTTCAAACGTGTTTAATCAAACTGAACTTGATCTTCCCTTGCAAATGCAGCATTTTCTGAGATCGTTTTTCTCAAACTCCCTTTTTTGGGCCTAACCAAACCAACGAAATCTGCTACAGCCCGAAGTTGTGGCCCTCCAGAATTTATAAAATGCTTTGACCAAGATTGGAGCCTCCCTCTCCTTGTGGAGGGGGATTAATAGAATGTCATCTCATGGGCTTACGAAACTTTTTCTATCCCCAGAGACTTGAGCATACCTTCAATCAAGACAATGCATTGACAAATTCTATGAAATCCATTGTAAGCATGTGTGAAGGGAAGCTAATGCCACTATAGATATGCTAGCCCAGAAAAGGGTTGAAGCCCAAAATTTTGTTTTAAACTCAGTAGTGTTTTTGTTATGATGCACACCTTTGGTTTATATTCTTTTACATTCTCTCCTAATTTTTATAGGGGACACACTCATGTAATACCTTATTACTACAACACAGTAAATTGTTCTCCAGAAAAAGGCAAAAAAAAGCCTTTCAAATATATGAGACTTAAGAGTAGATTGTTTGGGCTTTACTAGGACAAACTTCAAGTGTTCAACCCCTTGACCTCCCTCACCCAAATCCATATGTCTACCACTAAGCTGAAGCCTAAGGGATTATTCGATGGAGGTCACAAAGCACCAAATTTCATTTGCAATATGAAGTGAGGAACCATTCAATAGTCATAAGCACCTATTAATTCAGTCTACACTTGGCAAACATTGAGGCATTACAATAGTCACGCGCACCTATTAATTCACTCTATACTTGGCAAACATTGAAGCATTACACGCTCTTGTCAAGGGTACCTCGACACTCCAAATAAGAGCTGGCACCATGCATCGACACTTGGACATATTTCAACATGTCGAGACTTATTGTGAATTAAAATAATAAAAATGCCCTTTGTGGAGCGTGAACTTGGGGAACTTTGCATAGAAGCCATCTACTCTACCATTACACCAAGCATTCGTATATGAATAAATCAAGCGAATTTACTGTATAAATATATATTTTATTTCAAATAATAGAATGTATGGACACAGCTCGTCATATTGCATATTTAGGGCAATTAGTAGCACCTTAGAGACATTAAACATCATCCTCCTACCAATGTCCATTTAACTTTGGATCTTGTGGGCCTTGAATATTGAAGGCAATTTCAGCCTCAGAAATAATAACCTTGGAAATGAACAGAAATGACCATCAAAGTCATCAATCCTATGACCAAGCGTAATGTGGTGCATGCCAAAGCTGCACTAATCATAAATCCATTTGATATTATAACATTGAGGACACCAGGACAAACAGGCTTCAATGGCTTGATTATAAATAGCCTTAGTAGGCGCAATAACTTTGCTTTTCTCTCAATTGTTCACATCATTAAGGTTTCATGATTCATATAATGTGTCATAAGTCTCTTTCTACTCCTAAGAATCAATTGAAACATCATAATCATGTATATTCCTTTTGAATTTGTTTATAATAAATGCACTTTTCCAATGCACCAGTAGTCCACATGTCAATCAGATGATAAGGCCACAAGATGCTCGTCCAAGAGAATGAATTCACATGGTGAATCTGCCTTAGCTTGAATATCTTCACAGCTCTGAGACCCAACACCAATAAATTGAATAATCATATGATGCTACACTCATCCTCAGGCCATAAAATGAAAATTACATAAATTAAGTCTGATGCCCTTTCACTTCTCTCTAAAAAACATGCAAACATGAAGCGTAGCTACATTACCAAAAACCTTCAAATTAAGGACCCTAGTAAATAAAGTAGCAATTTAAAGTTGTAGAAAGTAAATGATCACTTCACACAATATGAAGTATATCTGTGGACAAGCAGGAGAACCACACTAATGGGTTCATGAACCCAATAAACAGAATGACGATTAGAAGAAACATGTAAATGATGCAAGTCCTTCAACCTAAGAACCTTATGAAATCTCTCCAGAAAAACATTTACTCTTTCACCTCAGTTTTATTGTGATTATCATTGTCAATCAATTTCACACTACAAATCTCAAATTGGCTCGCTCAATAAATAGTGTAATCATAAATATTGAATCTCTCATTTGCCTACAACTGATTCGTATACCAAAAGTACACCAGAAGGCTACATATTGTAACTTTCAAATTCACTCTAAATGCACCTGTCATCAACGATGCAAATCCTTTGTAATCTCCCCCCACAGTCAAAAGTGTGGAAAAATAAAATCAAAAGGTAAAATCCAAAATATACAGCGAAAAATGCAAGAGAACCTCCTCGGTCCTCTACCAACAAGCCCTAGATGCATACTGGGAGAGAAGACCAGTAAAGTACCATAAAACCAAAACACTAAAGCATGGAAATCTCAAATTCACATAACCCCCAAAATGAAGAACCATGGCAGTTCAAACAGCACATAAAATTCTTCAAACTACAAATACTGAGACATAGACAACCAATTTCAGCAAACCATAAACAAATGCAGATTCAAAAAGCAAGAGTGGGAGAACCCAAACTACCATAAAACGAGCAAGAAAGATCTAAACAGACAAAAAGAAATGCAGATGAGACAAGTTTCTTAATAAAACAGTGATTTTCATACCTTTTAGCGAAAATGGACGCTGTGTGATTCATGAGAGCAATGAACGAAATAATGAGAAGGTAACCGTGGGGGGTTGGTATACGAGCGTGGTAATGAGGGAGAAAAGAGCCAGTTAATTTGGACGGAAATACCCCGCCAAATCAGTGCAGGGATCAGGGGATATTTTTGTCATTTATTGTACCTTCTGGCAAAAGTCTTTTAAATGATGTGGTTTAGGCCTCGTTAAGAAAGTTTAAAGCCGCACCTCTAAATTGACCCTAGTTCTCGGGTCTGTTTCCGTCGGAAATTTTTACGATGGCTTGACTGTTTTTGCTTTTCAAATGAATATTTAGGACTACAAATTCTTTTCACATCTAATTGTTAAGATCGGCATAATCAATTTAGGTGTTTTCTAATGCAAAAATTGCTTTTTTTAGTGAAATTTGAAGGCAGATTTTTTATTTTAGTTTTTTATTTTGACAAGGTTATAAGCTTGCATTAATAAGGTAACAAATTAAAGCAGTCATATGGGAAAGGAATTGCCAGTTACAAGAAGCACTAACACCTATATTTGCCAAAAACTCAGCAATATCATTCACCTCCCTATTGACATGGCAAAAATCTATATCTAAACCATAAGCTTAATCCACCACATGTAGCTATAGAGACCTTAAGTGCCATGGTTGTTTCCATATCTTTTTACACCAGATAACAACAAAAGGGAGTTGTCCTCAACGACACAATACAAGCCCGCACATGTCTCTTTCACTAACTGAATGCCATAAAATAAAACATTAAGTGTAATGCTATTTGTTGTTGCTACTCCACAGGGGCCATAATAACGCATCAGAATATTACCTTCATGATCTCTTGACACTCCCCAAAAACTTGTTGGGCCAGTGTTCCCCATCGAACTCCCATCAAAGTTGAGCTTTGGACATTGTAGTGGTGGCTACCATCTTCCCTTAGGTCCAGACAAAGAGTTTTTTTTTTTTTGGTAAGTTTGTACAGGAGAAGGCCCCCTACCCGATTTTCATTAATAATAAAGAAAATTATAGCTCATAATTTTACAACCCTAGAATAACAAAGTTATGCCATATCATGAAGTAGTGCAAGATAGAAAATCCAATGGTCTAGATCACTAAACAGTGGCATCTGAGAAAGCGGTGGCTTTCTCGGCAAGTAAATCAGCCACTATGTGAACCTTATGATAAATGTACGTAAGCGACCAAAGCATGACAACAAAGCTTATATCAACAGTTAGCAGCAACAATATTTAACACCCATGGAGCTTTGCATCGATCATAAATTGCATTAACTAATGATTCGGAGTCGTTCTCGATCTGCAAGAGGAAACATTTGAGCTAGATATCCAGGTCAACACGAGCTTGCAAGGCTAGAAACCCTATATAATTATTTGATGCAATACTAAGTCATTGTCAAATATTGTAATAAATGATCCATCATCACTTCTAGTAACACCTCCACCAGCCCAGGGTTTTGAAGTGAAGCACCATCAAAATTCCATTTGAAATGATTAGGAGAAGGAAAGATGCAATCGATATGTACTGCTTGATTTTATGTTGTCGTCATGTAATATGGAAGTTATCAATGATTGCTTTATCTGATAAATGAAAGGAACAGGCTTTAGCATCCGCCAATTCACTAACATGAGAGGTAGTCCTCCTTAGCAAGTGCTCCCGTTTAAAAACCTGCCCTTGAAGAACTCGATGATTTCATTTCTCTAATAACATCCAGAATATGGTAAAAAACAATAGCCAAACATCTAAAGATCTTCTGACTTGAATCTGAAAGCAATACAGGTCATGAGTAAGTTTGAAATACATGTGCTTAAGATAATTCTTTTACCGCGTCTCTATGCAACAAATCTCCAAATACACTGTGAGAAAACATAATGGAAAAGCAAATAGCAAATATTACCATCATTAGAATGGCAAAAGGGGGCAACAAAATCCATAGATAGCCTCTTTGTTGTAAAAGAGAGAAGGTGGGAAGTCGATGATGGCCTTGGGATGGCACTTTCAATAACATAAAGCTTTGAAAATTAGTTGAATGGAGCATTTGTTCCAAATAAAATTTCACATCTCCTTAATAAAGAATGGTCCATTAGAATAACGGATCAACACCTGGAAGTATCGTTGTGGTTGTAACGGAGTTACAAAGGCTTCAATCTTCTTCCAAATTCTAATCAAAGGACCAGAAGTACAAATTCTAATCAAAGGATCAGAAGTAGAAGGGAGCGACCATGTCCAAGGGGAATTGTGCAACTAATCAGCAACTTTAGGTTCAATAAGAACATCGAGATCTTCATGAACCAATGCATCATATGACTCCTAAATAGACTTTTCTAATAACGTAGGATCTGCTTAGAAATCCAATGTCCGATTCCCTATGATATTGTGTCTGAGATAAGATTATCTTATTTAAATCTCCTTCCAAGCATAAGAGCAATATCTGTTTTTTGAATCCCATATGGTAGGAAAAGAGTTAGATTGCCATATAATCTCTTTCACATTTAAGATAATATTTGAAGAAAAATTTAGAGAACGAGAGAGGAACTCTTTGATAAAATAATTATTCCTTACAATTTTATTGTGGTAGTCCTTTCATTGTATATATAATTGTCACTTTCTTATTTTGTTACATATAAAATACAATTTCCTACCATGTTACATTCTCTCTCAAAAGGAAAAAGCGATATCTCTTTCCTATCTTGCAATATACACATTCCTATTATTGGATTGTGTTTCTATTACTCCCCCTCAAACTCGGCAGGGGAGGCATTTGAAACCCAAGTTTGAAGCAAAGATCTCGAAAACATCTCGTGGCAAAGGCTTGGTGAAAATATCAGTTACTTAATTGCGAGAAGAAACAAAACGAGTGACAAGCAATCTAAGAGCAACATTTTTCACGCACAAAATAATAGTCTAACTCAATATGCTTTGTCCATGCATGAAAAACAAGATTAACAGCCATGTAGATAGCACTAATATTGTCATAAAAAAGTGTTGGTGGTTGAGGAAGTGGCAACCCTATGCTTCGAAAAATAAAAGAAAGCCATGTCAATTCTACAGCAATAGATGCCATAGATCATTATTCTGCTTCAGCATTGGAATGAGCCACAGTCGACTTTTTCTTAGCACTCTAAAATATAAAATTGGAACCAATAAAGGTGCAAAAGCTAGTGGTGGAATGACGAGTGGTTGAACACCCAGCCCAGTCTGCATCAGAGAAGACATATAACTCAAGCAAACTAAAAGATAACATTCTTATACCCCAAGATTGTGTACCATTGAGACAGCAAAGAATCTGCTTAACTGCCTAAAAATGTGCAATAGTAGGGGCATACATGAATTGGCACATTGTTTTAACAATATGGGAAAGGTCAGGCCGTGTTATGGTAATGTATTGGAACGCACTAGCAATGCTCCAATAAAGAGATGGATCAGAATTCCCATAAATATTATTCTTCATTGTCATTGGTGTTGAAATAGGTTTGGCACCGTGCATCTAAGCACGATCAAGAAGGTACCGAGCATATTTATTTTGTGAGAGAAAAATCCCACCTGAAAAATAAGATACCTCTATGCCAAGAAAGTAGTGAAGGGGTCCAAGATGTTTCATTACAAATTCCCTTTCAAGTTGGGAAATGAACAATTATTCTAACAAATGCCATATTTTTATTTGGATATGAGTATTCTTTAGAAACATGAGGCTAATTTCTAATCTCATGGCTTAAAGAAGAGGTATAATTTCAAAATATGAAGGAATAGGAGATTAAGCATAGTGGTGGAAAAACTCTTATATTTTGGATCAAGTCCATTAAAGAGCCAAAAACCTTTTATTTTCATCAGGTACAAGTTTTCCAATAGCTGCCAAATCATCACAAATACTCTTGTTTACATATATATTTTGATAGGGTTGAATTCCCTTTCTTGCAGAGTTGGAGTTGATGGGTAAGTTGAAACTCTTTAGCTTAAAAATTATCTGTATAGGCATTCTTCAGACATTTCCAAACTTCTGCAGATGTCTTAAGGCTAACAACGAGGCTAAGATACTCTTCTGATAATGTCCCTGTGATCCAGCCTTTAAGAAGCCAGTCAGACTTTAGCCATGATTTGTAGTATGGGTTTTCGATTTCACTCTTACAATCAGGAGAAGAAATCTTTTGACTTGGTGCAGGGTAATCACCATTAATGAATCCAACAGGTTCCTAACTCTCAGTGAGATATGGCATTTGAATTTCTCATAATAGATAGTTGTTCTATGGTAACTTAATAGACACTAAGTTTCATATATCAAGGATGGAGGGATAGGGATATTTGTTTGGTGAGGATGAACTATTCATTAGAATAAAAATGTAGTTTGAGGAAAGATGGATTGACTGAGAAAGGGTTGGTTTAAATAAACGTGAGAAATAATGTGGCATAATGAAATATGTGAGTTGGGGTTTGGAAAAATATTTGTGAAGAGAAGATAGCCAAAAAGGTAAAGAAGAGGGTGTTGGACATTTTGAAAAAAGAAAACTTGCGAATGAGATTCAATGCTTAAATTTAGAGAGAGGATGCTTGTGGAATGATGTTATGGTGTAAGAAGATATAGACAATGGGTTTATGACATGGATGTATACGAATTGGGATTATATAGATGTCATGGATGAGTGACATGAAGACATTGGTAAAGTGGAAAAAGAAAAGCGAGCTAACGATGGATGCAAGGATGCACAAAAGGATGATGCAAAAGGCAAAGTAGTGAGGGAAAGGGATGCAAAAGCTATGGATGTAAAGATGCAAGATCAAATCCAACTGTAGAGAAAAACTTTTGAACGAAATTTTTCAAGACAATTTCCAAAACTAAACATGTAATGAAAGGAGAATGAGAAACTTACTTTGGATTGACGAACAACTTAAAAATTAAGATTAGGATTAATGTTTGCGCTGATACCATGAAGAAAAACTTAGAGAGAGAGAGAAGAACTATTTGAGAAAATATTTATGCCCCATAATTTTCTTGTGGTGGTTCTTTCCTTCTTTCTTTTTTGGGTAGTTCAATGGGAATGACGAGCCCCTGCCCATTTTTTGAAATCATTAGTGCCTTTTTAATA